TGCGGGAGGAGAAAGCCCGCACCGCATGGGGATCATCCTCGACCCCGCACACGTCCTCCGAGACGGGCCGGAGGAGGGTTGGATTTGTGGATGGAGCCGGCCGCAGCCAAACATCCATTTCGGCAGCATTGAAGGGGGATTCTCAAATCCCTACTTCAGCTCGGACGACGCACACGCGGAATGTGAAGGGCGGCCTTGTTTCCGGGCGAGAGTTATCCAACGGCTTTGATCGACTGGTTCTTTTAACAACGGATAATAATTCAAGCACCAAAACAATTTGGCACAAAGTCACAGGTCCGCCATACCGACTGCGTGCGTGTTGGTGCGATCCACGCGATGTGGCGATGCCGTACGGGAGTATATTGCACTACCACTGTAAGCACGAACCAACGGGAGGGGATATGGGTGAAATTGGCACCAATGGCAAACCGCTGGAACACAAAAATCCGTCCACTCGAGCCAATACGCGAAGAGTGTTGCAACGCATTTTGAGAAGTTCGCCCAAAGAAGGTAATGAAGGGAAAAAAATCGTATACAACGGTTGTAAGGCAACAAGTCATCGTTGTGAGTCTATCGGTTTCTACGGTAGTTCAAAACCAGACAGAAGTTCCGTATTTTTCTTTGCGAGTCCACATCCAATGCATGCAATTTTTGCTGAGCCGGCTTTGGGTGCCCGTTGAGTATTTTGAAGGGGGGGGGGGGGGGGAGAAAAACAAACAAACAAACAAAAGGGAAATAATTTGATTTATAACGTTTTTTAGTTCTTTTTTTTGTTTGTTTGTTTGTTTTGATGGTGATGCCTATTGTTGCTTTTATTATATGTCAGCACAAAATTCTCATTTTCTCTCTCTCTCTCTCTCTCTTTCTTTCTCATTCATACGAGTGAAAGGGTTTTTTTTTTCTTTTTTTTTATTATGCATGTATGTATTTATTGATGTAATGTGTATGTGGTGAACAAGACGGAGGAAAATGGGGAAGGAAGTGAGCATGTATTATATTCGTGAGTGGGGATAGTGGGGAGGGGGGGGGAATGTTATACTCATGATGGTAGAATTGACATTGTCAATCTATTTGTTTATTACAATGACTGTCCCTTAACACAATATATATATATATATATATATATTCTTGAGGTAAAAAATAATAATTTATTTTTCTTTTTCTTTTTCTTTTTCTTTTTTTTTTTTCTCTATGCTGTTCATTTGTTATTGCGACACGTATTTTCTTCAGCACTTGTTTTTTTTTTTTTTTTTTGTGTGTGTGTGTATCTATTGTGAAGGGGTTAGGTGGGGAACGATTAAATTTTAGGTGTTTGTGTGTGTGTGTGTGTGTGGCTGTCTTTTTGGTGCTGTTGGTGGTATTGGCGGTTGCAACGGTGCATGTGTCTTTGATTGGGATATATCCGAAGAAAAGAAGGAAGTTACATCAATAGTGAGAAGAGCACAAGGGTATTACAAACACAAAGGGGTGTGGTTGATCGTACAGTGGGACAATAGGCGGCGGTAGTTAGAAGGGAGCGGTTTAAGTAGCCAATGAAGAGAAATGGCATAAAAAGAGGCCTGTGGGATTCTTTAATTTTGTATTGGCGTTGGAATCGAGAAAACCTTTTGAGGAATGTTTCTACATTTGCGGAAAATGGCAGGCACGTGATTGGTATGGATGGTCCTGTGGAGGCAGGTAGTGAAAAGGACGTGGGGCGTGGGAATTCATACATGCCTCCTATTTTTTCCTCGATGCCGCCATCACCATCATCATCATCATTGCCGCTTGATACCATGAAACGTGTAGTACACGAGCGTCGCTCCTGCAAGCGATTTGACCCAACAAAGCCAATTGATCTCGACGTAGTTTCTGATCTTCTCGCCATGACGGTGCGGGCTCCTACCGCCCTGAACTTACAGCCGTGGGTGGCTGTTGTCATACACGAGGAGGAGCAAAGAGAAACCCTCTCGCGTGCGGCCCTGGGGCAACCGCAGCCTCGTGACGCACCGGTGACTGTTGTGTTCGCTGGTGACATGGAGCCGGAGAGCAATGCCCCGGCCGCGCTTGAGATGGGGCTGGAGAGTGGGTACTACCACTCACTTTATGGCGCAGCCTATCTGCGACATGCGTACTACCTACTTCACGGTGGCCCATGTGAAGCCATGTCACATGTTAAGGCGATTGTGTCTGCATGGTATAGTGAAAGCACTGGCAACGCGATGCTGTCGGTTCCTAGAAATAAGCAGGCGTATGCGTGGAAGCAGGTTATGATACCGGCAACGACGTTTCTTTATCTTGCAACGGCAGCAGGGTTTGACACGGCAATTTTGGAAGGGTTTGATGAGGCGCAGGTGCGGCGTGTGGCAGGGTTACCGCCACGATTCACAGTGCCGGTGATTATTAGTGTTGGGCACGGTGCGAAGAACGGGTTTCACTCCGTACGCAGCCCACGATTTCCCACGAAGCATTTGGTTCGGTGGGGAAAGTTTTGAAGGAAACGCGCATTGAAAGGGAAAAATTAGTAACGACAGATAACCGAGGCCGCTTGCGGTGGCACACACACACAAAAAAAAAAAATCCTGGGGAGGGGAGGGGAGAGGGGAATAACATTGCGCTGCTGCGGAGGTCAATAAATAAATGAGGCGAGAAGGGGGGAGATAAGGATGAGAGAGGAAGAGAGGAGCGTGGAGGAATGGAAGGGAGATGGAAAAGTGCAGGCGCGGTGGCGGCGCATATATATATATATTTCCCGCAACTTCTTCTTGTCTTTGTGTGTGTGTGTGTTTGTGTATAAATAAAGATGATGGGGTCCGCGACTCTCTCTCTCTCATATTTACATGTGTCTGCATCCCTTTTTTTGATATCTTCATATGTCTTTATTCTCTGCGTTTTGTCCTTTTTTTCTCTCTCTCTCTTTCTTTTGCGTGTGCTTGAAGTGCGGTGAAGTGAGAAGGGTTTAGCAAAGCCTAATTTGCCTGCGAAATGTCAGCAGGCAAGGGAGGAGAGGAAATGAGAGAGTCGCCGGCCGGCAAAGAGATGCACTCCGTTGGGTCGTCGATTGAGTTTCAGGTGTGCACAGACTCCAAGGCAAGTAGTCGCGCGAATTCAGATAGCGGCGGTGATGCACCCTCCTTGCGTGAAGAAGTTTGTGGTAGCGGTGTCGTGAGTGGCGTCCATGGCTCCCCACCGGCGTCGTCAGGGCCCACCGACCGACGGCACGTTGCAGCGGCGGTCGAAGGAGTGGGGTGCGCAATGACACAAGAGAGAGATGACGACAAGAACGGACATGCCCACCCGCACCAGAGTGCACCTGCGTTGCTGCCTCCACTGCCACGAGGCGCGGCATCAACGATGGAAGGCGCGGTGGCGCAGTCGACATCCCCGGGCAGACTGTCTTGTCCGACGGCGACGGTGGGAAGGACAGCGAGGGATGACTTCAGCAGCCTGAATTCCGCGACGGGCCGTGGGGAGCAGCGTGGGCGCAGTGACCCACGCGGTGACGAGAAAAAAGCGAGGATTCACGCCAAGGCCGCGCCTGTTTCCGCCGCAAACCCCTCACATGGTCGACTGATTGACGACAATTCCGGTGGCTGCTGGGCCAATTGTGGGCCCAAAGTACGGTTTCCGTTTTTTAAGGGCTTCCGCGGCATGTTTTCTTCAAATAAGAGGAAGAAGAGCCAACAACATCAGGAAGGCATTGCGCGTGAGGCACATGCATCTAAAGGGGCGTCCGCAGGAGGGATGGCAACCGCAATCGTGCCCATGGATGAATCGCGGTTTACTTCTTTTGCTACTCCGACGCCATCACCTCCTGTCGCTGCTGTTTTCAGACCCAGCAACGAGGAGGGAAGGGGAAAAGGTATTTTGGATGGATACAGGGTACACAACGAGGATTGGGCCCGGGAGTCTCATGGGAATGGGCAGGATGTGGAGAAAGATCCCAGACAACAGCGATTTCACGATATAAGGACACCGCCGCACTCAATGCAAGATGAGAAACTACAGGAAGAAGACGTTTCAAAGGCACGAGAGACCAAGAAAGTGAAAGAGGTGACTGACGGTGGTGGTAGCGAGGCTGTAAAGGAGGTGGTGGAGAATGTGTCAAGATCTGTTCAGGCATCGCCGTTGCCCGCAGCCTCTGCACCGTTAGTCACATTGGTGCCGCCTGTGGGGAAGGATTTTTACGCCAGATCAAACGCATCGACCCCACGGACGCATGAGGAGGAAGAGACTTCAGGTGCACTCACACCGAAACTGTGTGATGATATTTATTCCACGAAGGATGAAAATTCATTGTATTTTGAGTTTGAGGAGGAAAAGGAAGAGGCGAATGCGAACAGCAATGACAGTCAGTTTGCATCCTCTCACAGCCTTCCGCTTGCAAATCTGGAAGTAAAGGCGTTGCCCAGTGCCGAAAAGGCTACAACGAGTTCTACGACAACGATGCTGACCGAGAAGGTTCTCCCTAATTGGCTGCCTGTGGTACCCAGACGGAGTGCACGTGATGAGTTCCGGGGACTTGCAACTTCCTCCGCGAAGAGGATACATTCATTCACGCGTGCAGCACAGCGCGGCCATGAGAGGAGTGCCAATGGGAATTATAACGCTTCACATGAGACGTCGCATGTCACAATTGCCTCGTATCCGTGCCGTAGTCATTGTGCTTACGAGTCTACCCGCCGGATGCAAAATGGAAAGAAGAAACCCGAAGAGGGAGGAGAACCGGGGTATGACGAGAGGATGGCGATGATGATGAGGGCTGTAACATCTAAAAGCTATGCATCGTTATTGCCTCACACGTGTCACACCGCCGTCAAGTTTGGTTCACAACGGAATGGAAAGCAACCGAAAGAAAAAAACAAGGCCGTGACTGCACGACAGGCGTCTGTTGTGAGGTGGTACACGTCCACTCCACAGGCAAGGAAAAGGGCAGCTGCTGTCCTCAAGTCACGAAGGGACGAAAAGAGCACTGGGTATTCGTTGCAACAGAGGGTGACTTCAAGGGACGGCGACAACAGCTGGACGAAGGAGGGCAGTGTTCATCTTAGTCTCGGGTCGTACGCCCAAATGGCCGCGAGGCGACGGGAATACATGGAATACATGCAAAAGTCAAAATCTCTTGCCACGTCGCATAGTATCATCAACAACAGTAGGAGCAGCGCTTGGAAAAACAAGAAACATTTGCATGGTGGCAAGGCAACATGTCCCGTTTTACGAGAGCCAACCTCGGGAATTGATTTCCCGAAGAAGTTGCTGCGGGATGGATATGCGGCATACTGGAGATACCTTGCCGCTTTGTTGGTGCAGAATGGGAATAAAAAATCGGGTCATACGGACGCGTCGATGGCGCGTTTATTTGGAACGCTGAAATCTCGGCGCTCGCCCTACACGGGGCTCACATGGAGGGAATTTAAGTCACTGTTTTATCTAAGTAATAGTTTTTCAATGAACACAAACTCCTCCTTCCCTCTTCATGCTGGTGGCACTGAACCAACCACAGAGATGCAGGAAGATCCCTTTTTGGTACTCTCTATGTTAATACGGCCATCATGTGCTGCATGTGGACCGGATGCACGCGAGCTGCAGATGTTGTATTTATTATCCAACGGCGGAAGGGAACGGATTGTAACGCAACCAACACGGGAGTGGCTCTATGAGTCCGTACCTACTGTCCCAAAACCAAAGTTTTCCACCATAACGCCAAAGAAGCAACCACACACGTTGGAATCATCACGAAAGAAGAACAACGCATCTGTGGAGAAGGGGACGCCATCTGGATCGCCTTTTTCATATGCGTCGCAGTTCCCTACAACTGCACATGGAGCGAGGTGCAGCGATAATACGTTGGATCGGGACTCGTCCTATATTGCCGTGAAATCCGATGTGGTTGAGCCCAAGCAGCATGAGGCGCAACGGCGACGGGGTTTTAACGGTAATGAAAATCATGATTTAAGTGGGGCTCTTCCTTTTACAAATTCCCCTGATTCCACTGCTGGAGGTCATTTCTCCGACGTCATTTACTCCCCTAAGACAACAGAAGCAGAAGCAACTGTGGGTAATGTGGATGGAATGCGTCATGAGCAGCAAGAACTTCAAGAGACAAAATATGCGCCGGATACTACTGACGCCTCTTCTGTACAGTCTATTTCTGAACAGGCCTTTGAGAAATCGGAGGGAGGAATTTGTAAGAAACTTGATGCATTGGACATCATGCCCGCGCAACATTTTCCAGGTATGTATGAGGATTATATGGAGAAATGTGAAGGAGATCTCAAGAGAATTCATGTGAATGGTACCATAAACATGACGCCATGTGTTCATTCAGTTGTGAAATCCACCGACGCACATGTTGACAAGGCTCGTGACATGGGAGGCAGCAAGGAGGGAAAAGAGAGAAAGGGAAAGGATAACGATACACTTGCCACATGGACGGAAGAGCGACGAAGTCTTGAGGAAAAATTAATTATCATTGCCGCTGAGCGAGATATGCTGATGGATCAGCTACGTATATACAATACATACGATGAGGCAAAGCACAAAAGAAAGAAGGAAGCGCAACCTCAGCAGACACCATCAGGCACCGTATCATAGTTATGCATTAGTACTGGATGCTAATAACCGGATTCCTTGTCTATTATTTATTCTTTTTCTTCTCTCTCTCTCTCTCTCTCTCTCTCTGTTGTTTCTCCTTGTCTGAGGGAGAACATGCATTGCTCCTTTTCCTTCTATATATGAATACATACATATATACTGCATCCTTCCGTCTTCTCCTTTATATTGTGTGTTTGTGTGGGTGACTGAGGGCTTTATATGTGCCAACCGAACTTTCATGGCGTTCACACTCTCAATCTCTTCTTATTTTCTTTTTTTACATGCCCAAATTTAATATATATAAATATATATATTAAAATTAGGGCTGTGAAGTATATATTTAGCGCGCATTACCGTTCATTCAATTACTTATAGCAGTTTATTTTTATTTATTTATTTTTTGTTATTATTATTTTTTTTTTTGCTTTTATATTTATTATTATTATTTTTATTATTTCCTCTTCCCTCACTCTTGGGCCTACGACTTAAAACAGCGTCCATGCCACGGATAACAGTTGGGGGAGACGACGACCGTACTGCTGGTAGGGTCGTTATTCGGACCGATTCACGGCCCGATGCCGTCACGGTGTACGAGAACCAAATGTACGTGCGGCGCGTCGCCAAGGTCGATCTTCCCGCCACGGTGACTGCGACGGGTGAGAATCCCGCCGGGGACGACGCTGGCGGCACGGAGGATGGGGACGACGTCCTGCAGCTGCTCTTTGCGATGCCGCGGGACTTTGAACGGGACTCCGTGCAAGTCCGATTTGACGAGCGCACCGCCGCCCTTGTCGTACTTCGTGGGGTTCTCTTTGAAAAGAACTCCGTCGAAGACGACCGCGACGCGGCAGCAGGAGACACGCAGCGGCAGGAGACGCAAGATGAGCAGGCCAAAGGGATCATGATGCAGTTACAGGAGGTGGAGCAGCAAATTGAACTCAACAAAGTTGAGCAAAGTGCCGCAAGGGATGAGGCGGAACTGAGCGCCCGCCTCTTTGCGCGGGCCTGCGGGCTTCTGTCGGATGGTCTGGGGACGGCACTGGAAGTGGGCTTCTGGGAGGCGCAACTCGCCGGGGTGGAGAATGCCACCGTGCACGCCAATGAAGAGCGGCGGCGACTGGAAAAAGACGCGGCCAATTTGAAGGTAGAGAAGGAACGGCTGCAGAGTCTTCTGCGTGAAACGTCAAGCGGAGACTCGGCATCGAGTAAACAGACGGAGTCCGTGTGTATAGTTCTGAAGGTCAAAGAGGCGGTGCCGCACGCGGTCGTGTACGTATCGTACATGTCGCCTGGTGCCTCGTGGCGTGCGGAGTACGAGGTAGTGCTGGACAGCCAGCAGCAGTTGATGACGCTGCGCTACAACGCCGTTGTGCAGGCGACCGGGGAGGGCCTCTACGACGTTGCGCTGACACTCTCCTCTGTCGCTCCACGTCGTGGCGCGGCGGAACCGCAATTGGAGCCGTGGCGCCTCTCCCCAACCTCACCGAAAATCGAATGCCCTCATATGTTGATGTTGATGAGCACGACGGATGGGAGCGTCAAGGGCTCCGCGCCGTCCATTGAGGCGGCGACGGTGTCTGAGACGATGGGAATGGTGAATTTCACCGTCCCGTCGCGTCGCACTCTGCGTGGGGACGGCAGCAAACTTCGCGTCCCACTTACCGTCCTGCAGTGGAAGGCTGACGTGTCATACTCGACGGTACCGTCCGTCACGGAGGCCGTCTTCGCAACAGCAGTCTGCACGAATGCGGACGAATATCAACTTCTCCCAGGCGACGCCACCGTCATGTTGGATGGCAACTTTGTCGCGAATACTTTTCTCACGCGTACCGCCCCTGGCGAGAAACTCAGCATCCCATTCGGCGTCGACAGCAGCATTGAAGTTCGCCGGAAGCTGCAGGAGCGATACACGACAAACATGAAGACGAATTTATTTAACCGCGCGTCCAGGCAGCGGCTGCTGCTTGCATACGCCACGACCCTCACAAATACGAAGTCGCAGGAGACCGTCACCGTGACAGTGCAGGAGCGCATCCCGAAGTCCAACGAACAGAAACTCACAGTACGCCTGCTGGAGCCGAAGACGGACGCGGTGGACTGGACCGACGAGCGGCAGCGGCGGCTGGAGGTGGACGGTGTGGTGGAGATGCAAGTCGCGTTGAAGCCCGGGGCGGTCGTCACGGTGCCCTTCGCCTTTGAAGTGGAGGCCCCCATTGACGCGCACATCTACGGCCTGTAAAGCCGCCCCTACACCATACCAACACATACAAACAAACAGACAAACCACTTTTATAAATATCTCTCTTTTTTTTTTTTATGCGCACATAAAAAAAAAGGCATTTCTGTGTTGTTTTACAAATCCCTTTTTATATATTTATATTCATATGCAACCACCACATTTGTCACCCACCAACAGTGAAAAACAACAACAACAAAAAAAAAAAAAGAAACAAAAAACGAATAAAGAAAATGTATTTTTTACACGGAAATAACAGCCATTTAATAGGCCAAAAGAATATGTATGACTGATATTGTTTCAATGCACTCTTCTTTTATTATTATTATTATTATTTTTTTTTTTTTTTGGAGTTTACCGGCTGCTGCACACACACACAAAAAAAGCAATGCACACACACTGGAAACGCACGGTATTTTTGCTCAAGTTACACAAAATGCATTCATTTCCTTTGTTGTACTTCCATATATTCATAGATGACTGTTTCTTTTCTTCCCCTTTTGTTTGTTTTCAAATATTTACTGCACATAACACAAGAAGGAAGATTCCAGCAACAGAAACTTACAAACACTACCAATAGTAACACAGGAAAGAGGACAAAAAATTTATTATAATCCACTAAAGAGCAGAATATTCAGCCATAAAAAACAACCAGCGATAACATCCGTCAAAATAACCATGACAAGCACACGAAGACAACGATATATATATCTTCCCGCATGATGCATCCAATTCAATACTCACTCCGAGCGTGGTACGTGACTGGAGATAATCGATAACATGCACTACCAGCTGATGGCACCCGTGACTGGCTCTCTCCCTCTCTCTCTCCTTCTCTCTTGTGCTGCGGCTGCTGCAGCGCCGTGGGACACTGTGTCGCAAATGATGTGTGAAAATGGAATTACCATCGGAAGGCGCCTGGCGCAGGTTGACGACAAGATGCCGTGTGCATACTACCTCAACTGTTACTCGTACCACTGAAGCGGCGTGCCCACCCCTAACCCACCTCCCCCGTCGTCCCGCCGTGACAGTGATGACCACAAGCTGTTTGCACATTTGCCGACCCCGCGTGAGTGACCCACAGGAATCTAAGAACACCAGCTGATGCTTGACCGCACCTTCCTCCCACCCTTGCGGCGCGGCGACTTGGTTCGACGGAGTGCGTGACTGTGATTAGCGATGCGTCTTCCACCTAACGAGGCTGATGATTATGACCCGATGCACGTCTTACATATTTATACTACACCAACGAATGTGGATGAGTCCCGCGAGGCAGCCAGCCGCCGCCCGCAGTCATAAGTGTGTGTGTGTATGCAGCCACTCCGGGCAGGACGACGCCGGTTTGGTGGCGTGGAGTCCAATCGGTGCGGCGAGACGTGGACGGGTGCTGCGTGATGCGGTGCAGAGACTGTCGTGAGCAGCCCGCGTAGCCGCCAGGCCGTGCGCTCCCCGTCCAACTGCTGTGCTTAGCGGGTGGACAGTCACGGACGGAGCACGCCCTTCCCCCGTGGCCGAGGCAGCGGTGTCGCTATGCGTCCCCGCAGACAGTGCGGTGCGACGGTACGAAGCACGCGCGAGAGCCCCGTTTGCTGGTTGTGTGCCCGCCGCATGATGCATCCAATTCAATACTCACTCCGAGCGTGGTACGTGACTGGAGATAATCGATAACATGCACTACCAGCTGATGGCACCTGTGACTGGCTCTCTCCCTCTCTTCTCCTTCTCTCTTGTGCTGCGGCTGCTGCAGCGCCGTGGGACACTGTGTCGCAAATGATGTGTGAAAATGGAATTACCATCGGAAGGCGCCTGGCGCAGGTTGACGACAAGATGCCGTGTGCATACTACCTCAACTGTTACTCGTACCACTGAAGCGGCGTGCCCACCCCTAACCCACCTCCCCCGTCGTCCCGCCGTGACAGTGATGACCACAAGCTGTTTGCACATTTGCCGACCCCGCGTGAGTGACCCACAGGAATCTAAGAACACCAGCTGATGCTTGACCGCACCCTCCTCCCACCCTTGCGGCGCGGCGACTTGGTTCGACGGAGTGTGTGACTGTGATTAGCGATGCGTCTTCCACCTAACGAGGCTGATGATTATGACCCGATGCACGTCTTACATATTTATACTACACCAACGAATGTGGATGAGTCCCGCGAGGCAGCCAGCCGCCGCCCGCAGTCATACGTGTGTGTGTGTATGCAGCCACTCCGGGCAGGACGACGCCGGTTTGGTGGCGTGGAGTCCAATCGGTGCGGCGAGACGTGGACGGGTGCTGCGTGATGCGGTGCAGAGACTGTCGTGAGCAGCCCGCGTAGCCGCCAGGCCGTGCGCTCCCCGTCCAACTGCTGTGCTTAGCGGGTGGACAGTCACGGACGGAGCACGCCCTTCCCCCGTGGCCGAGGCAGCGGTGTCGCTATGCGTCCCCGCAGACAGTGCGGTGCGACGGTACGAAGCACGCGCGAGAGCCCCGTTTGCTGGTTGTGTGCCCGCCGCATGATGCATCCAATTCAATACTCACTCCGAGCGTGGTACGTGACTGGAGATAATCGATAACATGCACTACCAGCTGATGGCACCCGTGACTGGCTCTCTCCCTCTCTCTCTCCTTCTCTCTTGTGCTGCGGCTGCTGCAGCGCCGTGGGACACTGTGTCGCAAATGATGTGTGAAAATGGAATTACCATCGGAAGGCGCCTGGCGCAGGTTGACGACAAGATGCCGTGTGCATACTACCTCAACTGTTACTCGTACCACTGAAGCGGCGTGCCCACCCCTAACCCACCTCCCCCGTCGTCCCGCCGTGACAGTGATGACCACAAGCTGTTTGCACATTTGCCGACCCCGCGTGAGTGACCCACAGGAATCTAAGAACACCAAATTATAGTGTATTTTGTTTGTTTTGTTGTGTTTATTTGTTTTGGTTCATTTTGGTGTTTTTTTGTATCTTTTTTTTTCTTTTTGATTTTTTGCTTGTTGTGTTTTATTGTTGTTCTTGTTGTTGGTTTTTGTTATGAATTGACGGAAAATACTGATTCACAAATTGGAATTTAAAGGATTGTGTTGTGCCGTAGTGTTGGTTGTTTGTATTTAAGAGCGGTGCGACTTTTTATCGCGTTTGTATTGGATGGAGCAGACTGGATCTTCGCATGCGGTTTTGGTTGCCGATGATTTTCAGACGCAGGTGGATGTGTTGTATGCACAAATCCTTGCGAGTGTCGACTCTTCGATTGATAACAATCTTGAGAGCGCCTGTGGCGCGAAATCCGTGACGCAGCGCCCTGTGCGGAAGCGTGGTGCGTCGGTTGCGTGTTCCGCTCCTGTCGTGAAGGACGTGGCAGTCGGAGAGAAGGTTTGTTGTTTTTGTGCAGATGACATTGTGGACGTGTCTACTACCACAGCGTCAACCATTCTAATGAGTGATGTGAATCGTGTTTGCGGCTGCAGTTGTCATTCTCCATGCGCCGCACGAGGCTTACATCCAGAGCAACAGCAGCAGCAGCAGAATAGTGTAAATACGTCGAGCGAGTGTCTAGGCGCCATGCCCCGCAGTGTTTCTTCGCCGCAAAAAACTGCAGGTGGGGCTTATGGGGCGTATGGTCGTAGTAAAACGGGGGGGTTAGTACCGCCGAGGCAGCGTCAGCCACCCTCGACATTTGGAAGTGGTCGCAGTGGCATGTGTGATTCGATTAAAAAAACTTCTGCGCCCGGCCCGGGGTCCTACTTCCGCGGCGACGATGAAGCCATGCGTTATTCGATGGCCACGCGCAGTCGGAGCAAGAATCCTCCTGTTGGGGGAGGCGGAGAAGCTGTGGGCAACTGTGGCCCACTCGGCACCCGTCATGCCCGTCGTAGTGCGGAAGATGCAGCAAGGGCGTTGCAGCGCCAGTTTACGCTGCTGTGCCAGTGCTATTGGAAGCAGTTCCCGGAGTTGGGGATTTCGACAAATGCCGCGGCGCATGCGAGGAATTGTCCCTGCCACTCCATCCACACGGCCTCGCCAGGGGGAACTGATAGCCACAGCAGCAGCAGCAGCAGAAGTAGCTGTAATGATGCTTCTTTTCGTGTGGGTGCGAAAAAAACATCAGGACGGAGGCCCGTCGTTCCTCTCACATTATCCCCATTTTGTGTGGTTTCCCCATCAACGAAACGAGGTGCCGTGTTTGGTACCTCGCCGTGTCGGGTACCACCCACGGAAAAGCAACAGCAGCAGCAGCGATCGACCCACACGGAGAGTGTGGAGAATGGCCCACGAAAGGGAAGAGGTCCTTTGGTGCGGGACAACACGCCCTCACGTGGAAGGCCGATGGAATTGGCCTCGACACCCGGCCCGGGCGCGTACAACGTCGCCAGTGCTTTTGACGCGGCCTCCGCTCGAGGAAAGACAAGAAGCGTCTCAATAGGAAAGGCAGCGCGGCGGTTACATACGCCGACAGAGTCACCAGGGCCGGGGACATATGACACCGAATCCAAAGGGCAGACAGGAGCTCAACTCAAAAATAATTATTTTCTCACAACGAGCTCACGCCAGCTTCAGTGGATGGCAAAACACGATGGCGAGTGTAGTCCTGGTCCAGGGGAGTACTCGACAGAAAATGCGACACGCACAGATGCACGACACAAAAACTCCCCTGCATTTTCATTTGGTCGGGCCAAACTGCCAGTTGATGCCAAGAGACTCGTGGACCCATCAGTCATGGGGAAACCAGATGAAGTTCCAGGACCGGGAACATACGACGTTCCAATGATGTTGCCTGACGGTGCTACCGTTATAGGTGGAAGAAGTGCCGTTATTACAACTGCGAGGCGTGATGACAACATGTGGCGTGGTGTGTATTATCCACCCGATGATGTTCCAGGACCGGGGCATTATGTGATTTTAAAGGAAACAACAGGTCCTCAGTGGACATTCTCAACGAGAGGGTTGCCATCTATTCTTGAAGAACCTTCTCCTGGTCCAGGTGATTACTCTATTCCCATCTTTGATGTGCGTCGAGGGCGGTCC